AAATCAATTGTTGATATCAAGAACTGATTTCTTACTAGTTGAAATTCCAATTTCACATATCAGAAATACAATTCTTACTAGTAAAAACCTTTATTTTTGATATCAGTAATCACGTGGTTACTAGTACAGACGTCTATTCTTGATATCAACAGTTTAACTGCCACTAGTGACGATGTTAATTTCTGATATCATGAATGTGATTGTTACTAGTAAGAAAGCCATTTTAGATATCAGAAATTATATTGATATCACAAATATATTTTTAGATATCAAAAATAACAAATCTAACATGTTGAAATTCATTTACAGATATGAAGAATTAACATTTCAACTAGTAACAAATGAATTATTGATATCAAGGATTCACATTTTTACTAGTAACAAAGTAATTATTGATATCAACAAAGGCAGTTGATATCTGAAATTCCCCTTGCAACTAGTGAAAATAGAATTACTGATATCTTAAATGACATTTTAACTAGTAAAAATACTTTTACAGATATGTAGAAATGCCATTTTTACAGGTAAGAATAGCTATGGTAATGAGATCATTAATATTAACGAGATCTGGTTTTCCCACAATCCTCGTTTTAGCGTCAACATTGGCCCAAAGATGGCGGAAGAACATCCATGCGCAGAAACGGCTCCTCCTTTATTTATTTGTTTTGTCAATGAAACATGAAAATTATATTATGGCTGTAATTTTATTTTTTTTGGTAAATTTTTTGTTAATTGTTAATTTTTTGTTAAAGTAATTGTATGCTGTTTCTATTTATTGGCCACCAAGTCCTTCGGATAATTAAAGGAAAAATGAACAAGGCATTAATTTAGCTTTAACATAAGAAATTACTTCATGTCGTTTTTTCATGTGTTTATTTTTCAATAATTTCAATGTTAGGCTACGTTAAATACGGCACTGCACTGATGCACTCTTCTGAAAGTTAAGACATGAATAACAGTCTCCTCCATGACGACATCACGGAGCTGCTGGATGTTAGAGAGCTTGCGCTCCTCCACCTTCCCTTTGAGGATGCCCATGCTTGGCCAATCCGTCACCTTTACCCTCAGCTTCTTTAGCAAGGCAGTGGTCGTCTTGGAGGTGTGTTTGGGGTCGTTATCATGTTGGAATACTGCCCTGCAGCCCAGTCTCCGAAGGGAGGGGATCGTGCTCTGCTTCAGTATGTCACAGTACATGTTGGCATTCATGGTTCCCTCAATGAACTGTAGCTCCCCAGTGCCGGCAGCACTCATGCAGCCCCAGACCATGACACTCCCACCACCATGCTGGACTGTAGGCAAGACACACTTGTCTTTGTACTCCTCACCTGGTTGCCGCCACACACGCTTGACACCATCTGAACCAAATCAGTTTATCTTGGTCTCATCAGACCACAGGACATGGTTCCAGTAATCCATCTCCTTAGTCTGATATCAACAATTGATTTTGAATGGCAGCCTATGGTGACATTTAACTAGTGAAAATACAATTTCAGATATCAAGAATTATAGTTTTTACTAGTTGAAAAGTAATTGCTGATATCAAAAATAACAATTGTTACTAGTAGAAATCTAATTCCTGATATCAAGAATGAACATTTTAACTAGTGAAAATTGAGTTGTTGATATCAAGAATTCATATCCTGAGAATGAATAAAAGTCAAAACGGCTTGCCATACAACGCTCTCTGTGGGGTTTGAGTTTTCACTGCCACGTTGCACGGAGAGCCGTAAAATCAGCAGCTGAGATCTGCTCGAGCATCAACAAACACACCGGCCTCCAGATCTGATGCTGCTGGAATCAAAGATGAGCTGCGTATCACATGAACTGAAGCGCGTGAAACCACTGCAAGCACATTTAGCTTATGAAAGCATTGCGGGAAACATTGTTTCGACGATTTCCTGTTGTGATTTAGAACCTTATTTAAAGATTACAAAATGTTTCTTACAGCGTTCTACTAATTCTATTTCCACCCAAAATATTCAATCATTTGATTCAGATCGGGACTTCGGAGCGTGGATCACAAATCTTTTTTTTTTCTGATTTCTTTCTTTATTTTTTATTAAACAGTACAAAACATCAAAGCATTAAGGCAGTACAGTTATAAAAACAAAACAAAGAAAATATTAGAGTATACACAGATACAAACCCCTTAAGAAAATAAACCATGGCTTTTATTACAGTAAAAAAAAAATGTTTTGTGTATTTATAACCACAGTTTTATTGCAAATACCATGGTTAAACTATGGTTAGTGTAGCAAAACCTCGGTTATATTGTGGTTACCATGGCGTAACTATATATACTATTTATTTGTCAATATGTCTGATTTAATTCGAAAGTAAAAGAGTGGAGATGAAAGATTTCTTATCCTGTGGGCCCCGTGGACTGCAACTGTCCTGTAGAGGGGGCATTTTTGCTCAGCCAGTGCAAGTCTATGAGAAGTTTTTGATTATTATTTGAAAACTGTACGTCTGATCATTTAGAAAAGATCAGGGCCCAGGTCTCTGCTGAGTTTGCTGTGTGTAGCATTAAAGCCCTCGGAGGAGATACAGTCAGAAATGTAGTCTCAGGAGAAGAAGTAGTAGTTTAAATAGTGTAATAGTTTGCTGCTGATCTCAGGTTCGCCGTCAGCAGCTCTCAGAACGTCCCGCTGGTGTTTTACAGTGGCTGATGTTTTTATATGTCCTGTGTGTGAGCAGCAGCCCGTCTCCCCGCAGAGCGCCGCCTCATTAGAATGCAGATTAAAGTCTTCTGATCAATGCCACACATCTGCAGCTCGTTGAGACGTCGACCTGCAGGCCGTTATATTCACCACGGTACAGCGCTTTGACTTTGATCTTTACACCCCGTTTAAAAAGTGTCTCGTTCAGGAGATTCTCAGCTTTCACTGAGCTGTTGTGTTGAGTCGAGCCCATGAACTCATGTATTTAATCACGTCCAGCTTGTTCACCGAAGGTCTTTAACACTTCATCAGATTCAGAAAGCTGTAGAAGAGATTGTGACTTTAATTGGAGACTGAAGGAAGACTCACGCTCACTTTCTCTTGACAGGCTTTTCACGATGCAGCAAACAAGAGAAAAACAGCAAACATACGAGCAGAGAATCAGACAAGCATCTGCTCACATTTGCAGATGCAGCAACAGATGCTGTGCACTGTTTCAGGTCTCGTCTCCCATAATGCCGTGCTGCTGAGAGCAGGAGAGCGGGGCATGTTGTCACACAGTTCACTGCGGTGTTGCTCAGGACGGGTTTGTTGTTGAAAGTCAGAAATATGTCTTTATCCGAATTGTTAGATAAAAAGTTGCAATTACATTTTTTCATAGTTATATGAACTTGCCTGTATTGCATTATTGAACTGAATTCATGAAACGGATTATTGATTGAATTGCATTCGCTTGATTAACTAGTCTTACAGCTGCGTAAAAACATCGATTCGTCTGATTTGAATCTGCTAAGCCCTTAGTTAACTGCTGGTTAGTCAAACTAGTTCTTCAGAACACAGTGGTGTTTATGCAGTGGATGGATCTCTATATAATGTGCTCATGGCACGTCACACGGATGCTGATGTGAGGGTAACTGAGGTCCTGCCGTGTTTCACGAGCTCGGAGAGGACACATGTGGCGTGAGACGAGTGTTTTATTTGAGTTTAATGAGCAGAGGTCATCCTCACACGACCTCTGCAAAGACATTTAACACACAGACGGACGGACGCACGGTCACTGAATCAAGTCGAGTTTCACTGTTTCTCTCTGTGAACATCACAAGAACATCAGACTCCGATCCAGCCCAAACCAGAAGTCCACAAATGCATTTAAGACCGTGCTGAGAAGGTGACAAACTAACAGCACATTCTGCTCCTAAAATAACACAGTCGTAGGATTTTACTACTACCTTTGAGTAAAAATAGAAGCTTAACAAAAAGCACTTTATGTATCAAATCATTCCTTCACTGCCTGTTATTTGAGAGAAATCTGACTTTGTAAACGCAGCACAGTGACTCTTAAGCAAATGTGTTTTTTTTGCTCCCAAAGTGACAATTAAAAAAGCTATTTCTTATTTCTTTCTTCTAAAGTATTATTCAGTGCTGTTATATATTGAAGGCATTTCTGCATTAGGATAAAAAGTAACATTTTATCTCACAATTCTACTTTTTTTTTTACCACCATGGAATAAACAATAAAAAAGTTAAAAAGCAATGATCTCAGTTCTGAATTTTTTCTCAAAATTGCACGTTCACAATTCTGACTTTATAACTTGCAGTTCTGAGGAAAATAATAATAATTTTCTCAGCACGGTGAAAAAAGTCTCCATCGTAAGTCTGTTTCTTTTTTTTTTTTTACAAAATATTGATTGAGTAATATGTGTGAGAATAAATGACGTGAACATAAAGACCCTCTTTAGTCTTTTTAAAAATATATATATATATCTCAGTTTTTATTTGGTGCATGCATCGGCAACATTTGACAGATTGTTGTGTGTATTAAATGGATCATTCACTTAAAATGAACAAGATATTTTGAGCAAGATATTTAAAAAAAATCTATTTAAAAAGTATACTGGTAACTAACCAGTTTGGGTTACCATTGACTTTCACTGAATGCACATTTCTCACAATATCTTCTTTTATGCTCCACAGAGGAAAGAGCATGCAAGGGTGTGAGTATTGATCCATTTTAAATCGTCGAATTAATACGAACGCAAGGGAGCTCATATTTATATATAACGCTGTTGATGTGAAATCTGTGCTCATGCAGTAATATGTCATGAGGTTTTAAATGTCACTTGTGCAACTGATCCAGAACTTGTGAAACTCGTGCAGGCGCAGCAGCTTCAGCAGCTCCTCCTCATCTTCATCTTCATCTTCAGCGCATTCTCAAACAACCCCTGCTGCTCCGGGAGCTCGAGGCGCGTCTTCTCGCCGGTCATCATGGCTCGGCTCGGTGTCGTCCTGCTGTTTCTGTGTGCTTCTGCTCGGCTTCTGGCGGTGTTCTCTCAGCTTCACCACGGATCACGGACGCGATGGACGAATAACGGGCGTGCGTATCGGCTGGTGAGCCCGGGGTCCCGGTACGTGCCGCCGGGGCGAAGAGAGGCGAGCAGCGCAGCACCCGCGCCGGTGTCCGTGATCACAGACCGGCAGAACGCCTCTGATGCCGGGATGGTGTCCGATGACCCGTACGATCCCTACAAATCCTTCAGGAGCAGTCCCTATAGTCCATACTACAACTACTACGACTCGTACTACAGACCCAGACAGAGAAGCGCGCGGAGGCATCACGGACACGGAACCAGATACTTCCAGAACGGTGAGAAGTGCGTGAGTCTTTGTGATGAGGATGATGATGATGATGGTGATGATGGTGATGGTGAATGCCCACAGGTCTCCCGGATCTGGTGGTGGACCCCTACATGATCCAGGTGTCCACGTATGTCCAGAGAGCGGCCATGTACAGCCTCCGGTGCGCTGCGGAGGAGAACTGCCTGGCCAGGTGCTGCTCGCCTGCTTTCAGAACGCTTCTTCTGCAAAGTTAGAGGAACCTTCCATTCTAGCATTCTGAGAATCTCACGAGAACGTCACATTTGAATGTTTCTCTCAACATCTAAAACATGCATTCTTTTTTTTTTTTTTTTTTACATCTAAAGAACGTTTCTTCTTGGTGTGTGAGCGTTAGAGGAGTTCGAGAACATTTTATGTGAATGTCTAAAACACGTGTTTTAAAAATATTTTTCTTGTTTATGTAAATTTTTGAGACACATTTTAATCTGTATTTTGATCATGTTAAATGTAATTGTCCTCTAAAACACCATTTTTAAAAAATATATATATTTGAAGAACATTTGTTCTTGGTTATGCAAACATTAGAGAAGCATTGTATCATTTTGAAAATATAATTTCTCAATGTTTTTAAATGTCAATTTTTAATGCGTTAAGAACGTTTCTTCTTGGTTATGCGGACGTTAGAGGAACGTTCCATTCGATCGTTTTGAACACGAGATTGTTACATCTGAATGTTCTCTTAACATTGAAAACGTTTCTTCTTGTTTGTGCAAACATTAGACGTTTTATAATTTATAAACCATTATGAAAACGTTATTTCTGAATATTGTTTAAACGTCCAGTGTTTTAATGTTTCAGGAACGTTTCCTCTTGAACGTTACATCTGAATGTTCTCTCAACATCTAAAACATGCGTTTTTTACGTTTAAAGAATGCTTTTTTCCTTGTTATGCGAATGTTAGAGATTCTAGATTTTGAGAGCATTCTGTTGTTATAACTGAAGAATGTTATAAATCACATCACGAGGATGAACATTTCCTCTCAACATTTCAAGAACGTATATCAAATATGAATACTGTTATAAAAACATTTTGTCCTAACATTTACACAACCGTTCAGAAATGTTAGTGAGTGTTATGGGAGCTTTCCCTGTCGGCTGGGATGCTGAAGATGCCACCGGAGAAACGCTCTAGGTCTTCAGAGAACACAACACTGATCTGAAGAACCTGCCACGAGCCAGAGCGGTCTCTCTGCTGAACCTGTTGATAAATCAGTGACGTGTCTTGCTGTGTTCCTCAGTTCGGCTGCAGACGCACGAGATTACGACACCAGGGTTCTGCTGAGGTTCCCACAGCGCGTGAAGAACCAAGGAACCGCAGACTTTCTGCCCAGCAGACCGAGATACGCCTGGGAATGGCACAGCTGTCACAAGTGAGGAGAAATACACACATCACTGCATCTCACAGAATAACTGCTAATCATACATTATACATAGTGTGACGCAAAGTGAAATATTTGAACGCACGCTATACTGCTTTAAGAAGAAACACTTCAAGGATCAGTGCACACATTTATAATGTTACAAAATATAAATGCTATTCATCTGTGAATCCTGAAAATGAACTGCATCACGGTTTGCACACAAATATGAATGTCTTCAGCATTGATAATAATCAATGTTTCTCGAGCAGCATAGTACACTGATTTCTGAAGATCATGTGACACTGAAGACTGGAGGAATGATGCTGAAAATACAGCTGCGCATCACAGAAATACATTACAGTTTAACACACATTCACTTAGAAAACAGCTGTTTTAAATCATAATAATATTTTAAATTTTTACTGTATTTTTGATCAAATGAATGCAGCTCTGATGAGCACAAGAGACTCTTTCAGAAACAATAATAAGCTAAAACTTCCGAATGGCAAAAGATTGCTGGCTTTGACGGAAGCTGTTCTAAAGAACAGATGTCGTCGGTGTGTGCTGCTGATGTTTTGTTGTGGTCAGTCACTATCACAGCATGCATGAGTTCTGTCATTACGACCTGCTGGACTCCGGCACACAGCAGCGCGTCGCAGAGGGCCATAAAGCTAGCTTCTGTCTGGAGGACACGTCCTGTGACCCGGGATACTACCGGCGCTACGCTTGCACGTCTCACACGCAGGTGCGTAATTACCCAGCAATACAGACGGCAGCGAGCCAGAGCTTAAACACAGCACAAA